TTTGTTTTCAATGGCTGACAACATAGACTGTGACGGTCGCTTGTATTTTCTCACTGCCTCAGCGCTTCTGTGCCCGGTTATTCGCATTATTTCCTGCTCTTCTACTCCCTCTTCCTACGTGTAGCACACGTGCATTTCCCGGAGTGGTTTGTGAAGTAGCCAGGAATACCAGCGGAAGTGCACATATTTGTTGACACCAATCACCTGACTTGAAAATCGAATGTTGTCATTTCCTTTAGCCGAAAGGGGTCTCCTGTAAAACGGCCCACTGTGTCAATCTTGGATACATTACAGTTCATACAGGCATGGTAAGTCTGCAGTGCAGTGGCGACGCAATACTTTTGCGGCGACTGTCCGGTGTGCTAAACCTCCAGCGTAATTTTTGGCTGTAGTTCCACGAAATTCGATATATGGTCCCATCTGATCAGTCCCGACCAAAATGTGATTAGCTTGTAGGCGTCTATGTTCAATCACAGGCTCGGAATCCCAAAAGTTTAGTTGTAGAAGAACACTCTGTTCGGGAGACTTTGGCTGGTTTTATCCCCAAGCAATTCTTTATCCCATAAAGTTTTCTCGGTTTCTTCGCTAATGGGTTCAGCTTGTTTAACAGTGGTGCCGATACCTTTTGCTGTTAATCTTCGCATCTCGGCACTCAGAAATTGTCGGAAACGCTGACACGCTAGACTTTTCGTATCCAAAAAGTTAACGCTGATGTTTCCCATTTCCCGCATGCGACGTAGCAAACCGGCACCTAAGAGATAGAGGGTTTTGGGTGGATATTCTGAATCATCTACCTTTCGCGCTTCCAACACGAACCTGGACAGATAGTTGTTTACATCGGCGGCACACAAATATCTTGTCGGAATCCTCGCCATTGGTCGAAAACACACATCGCCAACTTCGTGTTATTTCGAGTGTTCTTACTTTCAGCATCAGCTATGCGTTGCAAAATATCGTCTTCTAATACGATTTTCGCAAATCGTTCAGTTTGAGCGGGTGGATCAACAGGATTAGTAATGTCATCAGGCCTATTTTCTTCAGAAAACGGGTCGAATTGAAGATCAAATAATCCAACATCCAGGCCAATTTGGTCGCTTCCATTCACTTCGTAAATTTTCAAAGACTGGGATAAAGTTAGGTCCTCAAACTTTAAATTCAACTCCATCGCCTCACCAACTTGGGAAAGTGTAATATCATCAATTCCATCATTCCGCTCATTCACACTATCACTGCTGGGTATGAAAGTTGTTTCCACGTCCTCCATGGTTGAGAATTAATTTTTGTAAACTTGAACGACCTAAGATGGCGCGTATGACATGATATTCATGACGTCATATAGTGCACTCATTTTCCCGCCACTTTGTTTTAAACACACCGCCGAAATCTCATGGTACAAGTCTGTTACCCCACCCACGACTCGAGGTTCGTCTAGTTACAACACGATTTGCCCTGGCTTTTGATTGACAGGCGTAGTGACATCTCGTGCCCTACGCCTGTCAATCAAAAGCCAGGACAAACCGTGTTGTATCTAGACGAACCTCTCGTGTGACAATGGGGTAACTTTATCTTATAGTTAAAATATTTTAGATTCAATTTCTTGTCTTAAGTTTATTCCTGTGATAATCTAGTTATTTTATTGTCCTTTGTCGACAGGTGTTTTATAATTTAATTGTGTTTATTGTTAATTTATAACTTTTCAAGTCACAATATGGCTGAAATATTGCCGATGTGACTATAAAGTTTAACTCACTCACTCACTCCCATTCGAATCCACATTCCCAGAGTCAGGCACCTAATCACAAAGTCGCAACCGCGACTTCGACAAAAGTGGAAGTAGGACAACTGGTAGTCCAGACCAAGGAGTTTGTGTACCCCTCTGATGTGTGTCAATTGGCACGACTCCCACAGCCGAAAGCGATGTGCAGCAAGCTGAGTGGGTTAGACGACTGGTCAAGCCACACACAGAAATATGACGCAAATCATCAACTGTAATTTGAAAGCAAGGACCTGACCCTTTCATCAGTTGTCATCTGAATCAGTCTCTCAGATTGCGCGTGCTTGCTGACAATATGGGTACGTGGATAAGTATCTCAATATGTTTGATGACTATGGGCGCTATCGTCTCAAAAGCGAGGCAATAACGGCACGCTGTGAAACTACCATCAAATAAACTATCAATCTGCTATTCATGTATGCTAGCCATATTCAGTCTGTAATGATATGGCTTCATATGTATCCTTCAAAAGACATTTAAGTTCACGTACGTTAATTTGTATGTGATATTGCAAGTTTGACCTTTCTACTCACAGATAATACACTGGGCATGACACATTTCAGTAAATCACAACACAGTGACCATCCGATTCATAATTTGTATTATTACAATTGTGCCAATGCCATGATCTCTACTTATTATCCTTATTGGATGTGTGGTCTTTTTATTTGCCAGGCCATTACCTTGTTTAGCAATAAATCTGGAGAATGTGTGTTTGCGTGTGACTGAGCATCTCATGGTAAGCTACTAGATTGTTTGTATGTTGTTTAACACCGAACTCAGTGATATGGTGGCGGTCTGTCAATAATCGAAACTGGACCAGAGAAGCCAGTGATCAACATCGTGAGCATGAATGAATGAATGAACATCTTTAGTTCAATCCGAAGATCATATTCATATATACATCAAATATTCACAACACCATATGCAGAGCAAAGGCAAGGAAGGATCTAAAATACACACTTGAGCGAGGATACCATGGAATACACATATTTACAAAATAGGACAATCATACATCTCCATAACATTTCATCTATGTGTTCAGTAACAAGTATTTCACATCTAGAAAAGAGAGACAGCATTTCATCTTCTGGCAGTAATTCTATTTGTACAGACATATTTCTAAAAGGTTGGAAGAGATCTGATTCCTGTTGTACATATAATGTTGACAATGTAGAATTATATGGCAGTCATAGTCATTACAGTGTCTTTCAACAGAGTTCACAGTATTTTGAACATTTTGCTCGAGAATTGATTTGTACACAAAATTGTAAGATCTATCTATATTGTGGTGACACAAATAAAAAAATATAATCTATGTTCACCAAAGGTACAGTGGGCTAGGTGGTGTCTGGACATATCCTGTCTCACACAGACTTGAGTAGCCCATCGTACAGTTTCAGTTTCATTAACACAGTTAATAACTATTTTACGCCATGAGGATTTACATGGAAACTTCCCAATTTCAAGATAGTCACTCCCATATTTAAACAGATTGTACTTTAGGATGGTTTGTAGAAGCGTGTCGCATATACTATGTGACACTGTTGTTTTATTTTGAAATGTGGCTAATTGGGCACAGACAAAATCCTTAAAGGAGGAGTTGCATTGGCTGTTGCATAGTCTACCAAGAAATAAAAGTCGACATTTATCTATGTAGCCATCCATACTCCACATACCAAGATTTCCTAGCACCGAGGCAGATGAAAAACGTTTGCCAAAGCCCTGAATACATCTGGCAAAGTATCTTTGCGTGCTTTCGACCAATTTATAGTCTTTATCATGCAGAATAGGTAAAAGTACAGACCCATAGAAGCTGGTGGGGAGAATCATCCTCCTCCATATTTTTACACTGGAGGTAGGATGGAGATCTTTACTGTTTAAGTCGAGATTGCTTAGGGAGTTTGCAGATTGTCGTGTTTTTTGACAATATGCATACAGTCTAGATTTGGAGGATAAATCAGAGGAAAGCATGATGTCTCCATATTTGACACTATCACTTATTGCAAAATCTGTTTCGCCAAATTTGAAATAAAAATCACCTTGCCCTTTCTTAGATTTACGGAATATAATGCAAGTACTCTTTGAAACGTTATATGTAAGCCGCCACTTACAAGCATAGCTAAACACAGTGTCAAGTGACGACTGTAGACATTTAGGAGAAGTAGAAGCAAGTGTAGTGTCATCAGCCAATAAAATACAATGGATATCAATACCGCATATGCGAATACCATTGTTTAAGGTTCTAAGTTCACAGATTAAGTCACTGATAAAAGTGGGAAAAAAACCCCAGGAGGGCAAGACCCTTCCTTGTCCGACACCTTGTTGTATAGAATATTCATTTGATTTTAAGCAACAATATTGAACAAAAGCAGAACTTAATGTGTAGCTTTGGTATAGGGGCTGCCACATTTTGCCTTTCACACCCATTACACATAACTTAAAAATAGTCCATTATGCCATATGAGGTCGAAATGCCAGTGATCAACATCATGAGCATCAATCACGCAACTGGGATACGATGACATGTGTCAACCGAATCAACGAGTCTGGCCACAAGACCCATTAGTCGCCTCTTACGACAAGCATGGGTTGAATACCAATTGTAACACGGATCTTCACAGACCTCATGGACTATGATGTCAAAAAGACATGTCCTTGGTAATATCAGCTCCTCAGAAACCAACAAACAAATGGACCTGAACCTCTGAAACTAGTGGACAAATCAACCCGAAACCAACTACGCGTGTTTCCACCAACACCTAATTATTTCAATGTTCTCGAATCCTATTGTTAGTGTGACCAACACGGAATTTTATTAATTCAAGGCAAGTTACTATTCTTTTTGGAATATGGTGCATGTTTACTTTCTTTCGACTATGCACAAACATTCTCTCAAAATTAATATTTCACCATGAACTTTTTGTCTGAAAGTGTCAGACTTCGGAAGCCGTGTATATTCCTAATAATGGTAATGTCATATTTTCCAGTTCATTATACCGTATTGCTTTTATGCAGAATATTGTTCAGTCTCTGTCTGTGTTGGCATGTTAACATGTTGACCGCGTGTCCAGGTTAGACACCTTGCTGTGACAGTAATTTCGATTTGTTTAACATGGAACACTTGAAACTTACCTTTCATGTACATAGTAACTGCCAAAGTATTGATAACATGTGATAACACCAATGATTCAAACAACAGTCAGAACATGACATAAACACTTACCTGTGAAGATCAGCACAAGGAAGATGAAGACGTGCATCTTTCCCCGACGTTCACACTGCGCGAAACTCACTTGCTGCATCATTTGTTAGATGGGCAATTCTGACATGGTCTTGTGATCAGTCCTGAATATATGGTCGCTTCAACTTTGCTTACATCAGCAAATCACGGACATTGTCCTTTGATCATTTGTTCAGCTGCAATGCGATTGTTGCATGTAAATGACATATTTTAGATTTGATAACAATAATACAGTGGATCTACAAAGTCTATTACGCAGAACACATGTAATCTATGAAACGCAACCGTTGCCTTACAGCGACAAAATGTTGATGAGGTGAAGAAATGAAACCACGTGTTTGTCTCCCCTTTTCCTAATTCTTAAAACAAACTTGAAACTGTCTGAAACTTGCTTACAACATCTAAACAAGGAACTTCGTGAAAGTTGAAATTGGTTATTCTGGGTGACATCTCATTTTCTAATTGATAAATCAGTGAGAAGTTGTGGTAGATGCACTTGTTAAAGATGCACATGTTTACGATGTCGACATATGTGAAAACAGTTGTATCAACTGGAAACATCCAATTTCCCCACCTTCCTACAGTATTCTGGATTCAAGACAAGAGCAAGACTTTGCCTACATAAAGACACCGATAACGTTTTTCAGCATTCGTGTGTACTCTTGCAGTAATTACGGCGCTAGTGCTGGTGTCTCATATTCAACCTATTACACCTCTCAGACATGAAACAGGATAAACTGAATGCATACTACAGTGGATGGATGCAATGAGTCGCAATATCAAGCAGAACACTATACAGGTTAATACACTGCAGTCAAGTGTTTCGGCTTTAGATAACCATCTACACCGAGTAAACACAACCCTATACGGTGTGAAGACTGAAGAAAAGGCGTTCATCCTGAATACCTCATCGTTTCTCAAAGTGATTACAGACCAGTTGCTGTTTGGGGTCCGGGAGATGGTGTCCACAGAGGAAGTGCAACAAAATGCATGGAAACAGCTTGAAAGACTTCAGAATGAAATAAACCTAACTTCTGTTAATATGCGCAATGTTCAACAAGCTCTTCAAATAGTGACACACAGCACAAAGTAACATCGCTTCCACGATCTCTGATGTTGCTGATTTGCAGCGTAGCATGTCACGTGTGCAGTCACAGTCACAGGCAACACCAAGTCGCTATCACAAGTCATACAGGACGTTGGTAAGTTTGTTTTCTTGGTTTGTTTTTGTTTGGTTTGGTGTGTTGTTTTACGCCGCACTCAGCAATATACCAGCTATATGGCGACAATCTGTAAATAATCGAGTGTGGACCAGACGATCAAGTGATCAGCACCATGAGCATCAATCTATGCAACTGGGATAAGTTTACACGTGTCAACCTGTGTATTTGCAGCTTAATAGCACTGAAACTAGCACGAGTGCTGCCGATTATTGTTAAAAGTACATGGATTGAAAATTTGGCGACAATTATGATCTTAGGGAAACCGCAGAATAGAGAGAGCTATGTTGGGTGTAATTAGATATAGCATCAGTGAAAATTGGGTTTAGAATTGGTCTCCAGCAACCCATGCTTGTCGTATGAGGCGACTAACGATGATGTCGACACTGGCGCGTCCGGTGCAGACGGGATTATTCACAGACTGATACATAGCTGGAATATATTTCTGGTCTGGCGTTAAACAAACAAAAGCCATTTTGCGCAAACTATAGGGTCATTGCTTATGGCAACGTTGCATACAATTTAAAAAAATATATTTCGAAATGCCATCCATATATAACTGAATAATGTATGGTGGAAGTCTATTACATGTGTTGCATGTTTTGTTTTCATTTTGGGACAACTTCCCGGAACGTTTATCTGGTTTCTAGTTTATGGCAAAAAACAATAACTGGCCGGATTTTCAGTGGAGTTTCCACCCTCGCTCGCAACAGAAAAGACGCATCTTGTGGTACCAAACAGGTTTATTAGTAGAAATTAGGACCAGTGAATATTTAAAGCAGCTTCATTAATTGTATAACAGTATCTTGCTTTAATTATATCATAAAAATGTAATTTCGCAAATTAATGCGTCCTTTACCGTCTGTAAACCTCATTGCAGTCTGGTTACTGCAGACACTAAGCGCATTAAAACGTGTGTTTTCATTGATGTTCACGAGAGATATTCACACACAGCTACAGGATTTGAACTTATTTTGCCAACTCTCATCCAGTCTGGTTGATGAAATAGTTTTACTCCCTTATTACTCAGGAAAACAATTACAAGTTGAAATCTCCTTGACAACAGTATTTGGTTTGTTATGAGGATGTGTTTTCGTTAATCATGTCACATTAATTAACTTTTAGTTGTTATGTGTCACAAAAGTTTAAAGTGCTGAGTGTGATTTGAACTAGCATTTTTGGCTTGGGCTATGTAATTTCACCTGTTAAGGGTAAGCTGAGGAGCTACGCTCAGAGTTACCTCCTCCTTGCTTCTAGTCTAATCTTCGAAGGGCTGAGCAGCTGATCGTATTGTGATCTAAATGGTCGTAGTGAGGCGTGGCTACTGCTAGAAAATTCGAGAACTGTATAATAGGTATATAAAGGATTATTGCTGAGAGGTAGGCGGGGTTACTTCATTGGATTTACGCTCATCTGTCTGCTAACATCAGCGTTTCAAGACCAATCATTCAACTGGCCTCGTCTATATTGAACTTTCAACAGCTGTCAACAACCTTCAATCAATATATGTGTTCACTAGCAATATCAAGACTTTGGTGAGTTAATATTTTAGATTTGTGACCCAATATTCTAGATTTGAAAGACTCAATTGTATTGTATTGGAAATATGTATTATGTTCTAATTCTCTTCGATCAACCGAACATAAAATATTCCTTTTGTATAACTAAACACACATTATGGGTTATGTCTACCGCAGCTCGACGAGCAGACGAGCAGGTTTATTTACAAAGTACATGTACAATGTTTACGCGATACGTAGGCCGTACATTCGTCTTCCTGCAAAACAATGTATGCAAAATAACTTTAATTTGCAGTTAAAGTTACAATTGACAGTTACAATATTTAAGAAAATGATTAAAACACTAATATGTAATAAACATTGGGATAAAACTCCAATTTACAATAATTTATATATTCAATTCATATGTTCATAAATTATATTTATATAGATATATACATATAGATATTTAATTTTAAAGAAGAATACTCATCTTGTAAATTTCCGACATATCGTCACAGACTTGTCTCAAGCTCTGCTGTCCCGTTCATGGTCTATTGGTTGATACACCATTTCACATCAACATACAAACATTACTCTTCAAAAACACTTGAATATACGCAAAAGTACCATACGGTTTCAACTGCCAAACAGCATGACAACTTCCATACGGAATGATTAACTCAGTCTATTTAATGGAGATAGCTACTCGCCTGCACAGTGCGAAGACCTCGAATGATTGTTCATTCTTCTCCGAACACCAAGAAACCTCCCTCATGTGACTTCGGGACACCACTTTCACGTGCAACTCAACCCTGCTGCGTTATCCAAACCTTTACCGTATTTACCCAAAGTAAATTAATTTATGTTCTAATTCTCTACGATCAACCGAACATAAAATATTTATTTTGTATAACAAAAGACACATTATGGGTTATGTCTACCGCAGCTCGAAATTAAAAGAACGGGTACATGTATATGTGTTCTGACATTTTATTCTTACAAATCCAACAACGATGTTACACTCAACAGTTCTTTGAAATTATCTTTGACATAGCCGTCCTTAGCATTTTCAGAGGCCCAGCGGCCATGTCTATTGAACAGACGGTCTGGTACACCTGCACTAGCGGCAGTCGTGGCGCCACCAGAACGAAAACTATGCAATCCTATTTTCTTAACATCTCCTCCTAAAACTTGGAATTTTTCAATAAATATTTCTCTGGCTCTAAAATATGAAATAGGAGCATCTCCCCTCAGTGTGTGATATCCACGTGTTTTACAAAAACTTAACTTTCTAAATAAGTTTTCTTGTGAATGTTCGCAAATTCCAGCTTTCATTATGTAACAACGTAGCATAGCAACAGGACAGAGTTCGGTTCCAGAAGCTGAAATCAAGAAATGTTTACCATATCTACATACATAGATATATACATATACATCAGTCTTGCTTTTTCTTATAAAGATGCGCATATACCCATCTCAGAAAGTAATATATGACCTTCTTATACTAACAACCTCAGAAAATCTGAAAAAACCTGCAAACGAAATAAGTGACATTGCAAGAAACCTTAAGTCTAACGACGAACAATCTGTTTTACCAAACTCAGAAACCAACTTTCTCAACATATCAGTATCAATCGGTTCTTTCTTTTGTACTGGTTCACTATAATGCCTCATAGCTGCTTCTCTGATGTTCTTGATAAGATCACTCTGTTACTGATATGTCAAACCCGCCATTCTGTGAGCCCAGCTTATACCATATATAGCTTCAACTACAGTCGGTGAATACAACCCAATGCAGTAAGATACAACCCAACACGAAAAGAAGTTGCTGGTAAACTGCTCACTTCATAAACGTTGATGCCCACTTTTGCCATAATTTTAAAAATATTTCGTATTTCTGAACTGTAGAAGTTGCTTTCGATTTACAGACAATATGAGGCATTTTCCTTGACAGATTTAGTAAATCTTCATGGACCAAAGTTTCACGCTGCTTCCTTATGCCAGCCGAAAACAAATCTGCAACTTTGGGGGCTTAGTCCACTTGTGTTTAGAAGATTCCATAATTTGTCTATTTGCACAGAGTCAACGCTCAACAAATAACGCATTCTTTCCTAGTTATAGGCGAGTCTAGTATCTGTTCTATGAGTTCGCAATTTACGTCAGAGTTTACGGGAATATTATCATTTTCGCATATTTCACCATCTGTTCAATTTTCAATTTTCTGCATTCTTTATCAAACCAGTCATTTACAGATGTTTTGACAGACGGGTATCTGCATTCTTTATGACGGTATTGACTGCATCTGATACCCGTCACAGTCACCATGACAGCAGAGCAGACATATAAGTATCTGCTCATGACAGTCACGTATGACGACACAATCTGATACCCGTCACAATTACCATGACAACAGACCAGACAGACGCGTGAGTATCTATCCATGAACGTCGGGTATGACGAAACAACTCTTATAGCCGTCACAATCACCATGACAACAGACCAGACAAACTCATGAACATCTTTCCATAACATTCGGGAATAACGACACCATCTGGTCGCCTTACTACCTCAACTCCATTTTGCCTCAGCTCTTGGTGGTACGTAAGTACCGAAACATTTAAAGTCAATCTCAACTGGCCAGATTCTTTAAACGTAGTATTTTTGTGCTTTTAGCTTATAGCTAAATTCAACTACAATCACCAGCGGCTGAAGGGATGATATAAATCCAGCTAGGGTCCATGCAGGTAGCAAAAGTACTGTAAGTCTGTACTGTAGTGTGGTGATCAACCTTCAGTTGCTGGTGATCTATGGCCCGTTTTTATATTGTATTGTTGTCTCTAGTGATATCTTTTTTTTATGATAGCGTACAAGTTTTAAATTAAGAGCTGTGATACTCTAGTAGTTTCACTGTCCTTCGATAACAGATTTTTTTATGTTCCAAATTTATTGATTACATGTTGATACCAATTGTTTTCGTCACGATATGGCTGAGATATTGCCGATGTGACGTTAAATATTAACTCATTCACTCACTAAGCTCTTGGTGCGACAGATACCTTACATGTGGTATCTAATATTCAAAGGAAGTGTTTTTGGAAAAATAGCCGTTACGGTATTAATTCTGCTTATAAAGACAGGTAAGGCAGGTGATGAAAGGCTGTTTCATGTTTTGACTCATCTGACCTCAGATTTTTCAGTTGCCCACTGTCATCGAATTCGTTCTATACCGCCACAGTGTTCACAGCAACATTGCACTTAAGCATTGAACTTCAGAAAGAAGTTTATCGTTGGGCATCACGCAACCTTTGTGTTCTTTTATAGCAAGGTCCCTCAGCCTCACCCCATACATCGTCCTGGATCTGCCACACTTACGTGTATGGTGACATCTTGTTGGAGACAGAGATGTCTATAGCCACGGCAGTTACATTTGCAGATCGTCCAGGGATATTTCCTGAATCTGCATGTGGCTATGTGCACGCACGCACGCACGTACGCACGCACTCACTCGCTAAGAAAGCAGACCCCTTCGTGAGCTGTCAGTTTTTAAAAGGCTTCGAATCACTTTTACTTTTTAGGTCCTCTACAAATAACTCTACGTCATATCTTCACAGCACATTTTAATTCATTATAAGGAAAAAATGGCACACTGTGTTTACAGGTCAGTTTCCCAGGATTGCATATTTCCTCAGAACCGTAAACAGGACATCAACCTGAAAAGGAATATAGGTAAATCTACATCATGGCGTAATACAGTATATGTAAAATATATAAATTTAATTCATTATTCAAAATAATAGTGACCCGACTGTTTCCTATACAACATGGGTCGGTGGTGTAGCCTTGTGGTTAAGGGTTGGCTCGTCAAACACCGGTTCATTCCCGTTATGTGAGCTGTTCTTAGACAAGAAAGTATATCGACTATAAAATCAATGTAAATGATTACGATGTTCTCACACTCAATGCCAGGGAGCTGACCACACAATACATACGTAACATCGATGGTCATCCCAGTGATGGAGTTGCTGCTGACAACTCCGGCAGATCGTCAAATGTCCACGTTCCGAAACATTGTTTCATTCATCTTTGCACCATTTGTCAAGGATCCTGGTGATTCGGATGTCGCTTCGGGTGTCGCTTCGGGTGCCGTAGCAGGCATTGTTGCAGGGAGCATTGTCAACGTTGTGGAAGTAGCTGGCGTGGTCCCAGATTGGCATAAAGATTTTCCTGTCATTATCCAGCATATTGAAGCAAACAACTCTTCAAATGTAAACAAGGACTAATGTTGTGTTTGATTATTGATAATACGAAGATCAAAGAAACTTGCTGTAGTAAGACTATACTTATACATTAACTTACTACTCATGAAGAGCCATAGCAAATTTCACGGTTTACCTAAATCATTACTTTACAACTAAAGTTACTATAACTGACGTTGTTCAACATAGTTATTTTAACTAGTTAACAGATCAGTTTGGCCTTTTATGAGATTTGTTTTGTTTGGTAATATTTTTCGAGAAGCAGGATTCTTACCAAGTCGCCACCATGCATTATCTACTGAAGAGATTTCGATGCTTTCAATGTTCAGTGTGTCGAGCCAAAAATAATTTGACCACAGACGGAATTCTCCAACTTCGCAACCTTCACCGATATGGGTATCATATGCTGAAACCGTCACCCACAGAGGTGTGTAGTCGTCACACATGTCCCCGGACAAAGCCAACATCTCCCCATAGCAGTAATCATTGTAGCTGGAGTCACAGAACTGCATATGAGAAGTCTTGTTTGGATATATGTCGATAACTGTTCTGCCGTCTTCCATGTTAATGTGGAGCTGTACTTTACTGCAACTCTTCACGTCAAACAACAGAGCTGAAGAGTCCGAGCTGAAAACCTTCTCAGCATCCACCTTTACATTGCTGTCAGTTCTTGAGGTTTGAAACACCTCAGCGTGGATTCGATCACTTGAAAGAAATATTAGGAAGGTGACAAAAGATTGATATATAAGTAAATGACATGTGTCAACCAAGTCAGCGAACCTGACCACCGATCCCGTTAGTCGCTTCTTACAGCAAGAATGGGTTGCTGAAGACCAATTAAAACCGGGATCTTCACGAATCGGAACTCGCAGATTACATGTATACTAAGAGCAAGTTCTATTCCGTTATTGGTACATCCGTGTTTCTAAAACCCACGTAGCATTGGTACATTGGGAATGAGCACGGTAATCCATGTCCGTGATTAATTGGCTATGCTACTAGGAATTTGAAAAGAGATTAGCATATCCTCCCTTACAGCTAACACTCATAACATATACATGCATATGCAAGTTATATAACGAACCGAACACGTGGAACAAGTGAAAAAAACTACATGGGACCCTAACGGTGCCTGGTGGCAAAATCAGCAGGGTGATCACACCTCTGCATGAATGTATAAAAACGTTAGAAGTTTTGTTTTCCACTTCACATTATATTGCAAATAGTTCAACGCTGACGTCCCATGATTAAGTCCCATGATTAAGGCCAGTGGCTCATGGACCAATATGATTGAGTTAACCTTCAGGTTCTGTCTTCTGTTTACACACCAGGATTTGACATTACATTTGCTGGACACAAAAAGCTGCTCTGTTTATCTTCAGGTTCTGTCTTCTGTTTACACCCCAGGGTTTGATATTACATTTGCTGGACACAAATAGTTGCTCTGTTTATCTTCAGGTTCTGTCTTCTGTTTACACCCCAGGGTTTGATATTACATTTGCTGGACACAAATAGTTGCTCTGTTTATCTTCAGGTTCTGTCTTCTGTTTACACCCCAGGGTTTGATATTACATTTGCTGGACACAAATAATTGCTCTGTTTATCTTCAGGTTCTGTCTTCTGTTTACACCCCAGGGTTTGATATTACATTTGCTGGACACAAATAGCTGCTCTGTTTATCTTCAGGTTCTGTCTTCTGTTTACACCCCAGGGTTTGCCATTACATTTGCTGGACACAAATAGTTGCTCTGTTTATCTTCAGGTTCTGTCTTCTGTTTACACACCAGGATTTGACATTACATTTGCTGGACACAAAAGCTGCTCTGTTTATCTTCAGGTTCTGTCTTCTGTTTACACCCCAGGGTTTGATATTACATTTGCTGGACACAAATAGTTGCTCTGTTTATCTTCAGGTTCTGTCTTCTGTTTACACCCCAGGGTTTGATATTACATTTGCTGGACACAAATAATTGCTCTGTTTATCTTCAGGTTCTGTCTTCTGTTTACACCCCAGGGTTTGATATTACATTTGCTGGACACAAATAGCTGCTCTGTTTATCTTCAGGTTCTGTCTTCTGTTTACACCCCAGGGTTTGCCATTACATTTGCTGGACACAAATAGTTGCTCTGTTTATCTTCAGGTTCTGTCTTCTGTTTACACACCAGGATTTGACATTACATTTGCTGGACACAAAAAGCTGCTCTGTTTATCTTCAGGTTCTGTCTTCTGTTTACACCCCAGGGTTTGATATTACATTTGCTGGACACAAATAGTTGCTCTGTTTATCTTCAGGTTCTGTCTTCTGTTTACACCCCAGGATTTGACATTACATTTGCTGGACACAAATAGTTGCTCTGTTTATCTTCAGGTTCTGTCTTCTGTTTACACCCCAGGGTTTGATATTACATTTGCTGGACACAAATAGTTGCTCTGATTATCTTCAGGTTCTGTCTTCTGTTTACACCCCAGGGTTTGATATTACATTAGCTGGACACAAATAGCTGCTCTGTTTATCTTCAGGTTCTGTCTTCTGTTTACACCCCAGGGTTTGCCATTACATTTGCTGGACACAAATAGCTGCTCTGTTTATCTTCAGGTTCTGTCTTCTGTTTACACACCAGGACCGAAGTAGCCTGACGTTATATTACCTTGTAGTAATATACTTGGCGGCATTAAAAACGCAATACCAATTTCAAACAAAGATATTTAATACAATTCGATATTCAATACAGAGCATGATATGTAAAATGGTAAAGTTATCCCTTGTGAACAAAGCAAAAGTCAAATGGTACAGAAGATAGGTGTTTTTATGACGTCATATCACTGCAAACAAGCAAGGGGTCACAGATTTTCAGTATTCTGTGTGTCGGCCTCGAGTCCTGATGAGAGCCCGCAATCTGCTGAACATACACGTGCACAGACGAGCATGGCACCTCTGTGGAATAACTCGTCGCTGTTGTTGGAGAGCTGCTGTCAGTTCTGCAATGGTCTGGGGTGGGTTTGGAAGGGCTCGAACTCTGCGACCGAGCTCATCCCACAAATGCTTAATGGGGTTCATGTCAGGAGATCGAGATGGCCAGTTCATCACAGGGACCTGGTTGTTGCTGAGGAAAGCCTGCGTGACCCTTGCTGTATGGGGGTGGGCGCTGTCGTGTTGAAAGATGTCTTGTCCCTATGGTTGTTCGTGATGTTACTGCAGCCGTCTGAAATCGATTCCAGAGGTGCTTGAGGGGAATGTTTCGATCCTGACGTAAAGTCGTTACACGTGCCGCACCTGGACGTGGACGGTCAGCAAAGTTTCTTGTTGTGTTGAATTGGTTTCGAAGCCTGGATATTGTCGGTGGGTGGACATGAATGTGTCTCGCAACTGCTCCTCCTGTCCTTCCTGCGATCAGCATCCCAATGGCCTGGTTCCTCTGATCGTTGTTAAGGCGGGACATCTTGGCCACAAGTGATGGGGAGCAAGGAGTGGATGATTTTATAGAGTATGGCATGGTATGGGTATGGGGATTGCACATGCACTCCATGCACTTCAGGAATCTGTTGCGTTCGGGCGATGTGTTTCATTTGGTTATTTTATGCTTATGCAAGGGCAGTATCGTTCAGAGTTTGGATTCAAATTCAAAACATTGACCGTGCCGTTCTGTGACAAACTTGTGTGATTGTATCAATTTACTGTCGAAAATACTCTTCTATATAATAAAAAAAATAGGTATTGGTAATGCCGCCAAGTATATATACGATGATATGTGTCAACCAAGTCACCGAGTCTGACCCGATACGTTACAACAAACATGGGTTACTGAAGACCAATGCTGACCCGGATCTCACTGACAATGATTCAAGAGGAATTTCCTTGGTAATATCAGCTCCTCAGAAACCACCAGACAAATGGACCTGAATCTGTGAAACTAGTGGACTAATCAACCCGAAACGTACCACGCGTGTTTCCACCAACACCTGATGTATTTCAAAGTTCTCGGATCTTATTGTCAGTGTCACCAACACGGAATTTTATCGACTTAAAACAACGTTTTTATTCTTTTCGGAATATGGTGCATGTTTATCTTCTTTCGACTATGCACTAACTTTCTCTCAAAATACATATTTCACCTCCATGAAATTTTGTCTGAAAGTGTCAGACTTTGGGAGCTGTGTATATTCCTGATAATGGTAATGTCATAATTTCCAGTTCATTATATCTTATTGCTTTTATGCAAACATTTGTTCAGTCTCTGTCTGTGTTAGCATGTTAACATGTTGACCACGTGTCCAGGTTAGACACCTTGTTGTGGCAGTAATTTCGATTTGTTTAATATGAACAACTTCAACCTTGCCTGTCATGTACATAATATCTACCAAAGCATTGATAACAGTTGATGTAGGTCAACCAGTTCAAAGTCCTGCCAAAGCAATGACTCAAACAACAGTCAGAACATGACATAAACACTTACCTGTGAAGATCACCACAAGGATGATGAAGACGTGCATCTTTCCCAAACGTTCACACTGCGTGAAACCCACTTGCTGCATTATTTGTTAGCTGGACAATTCTGACATGGTCTTGTGATCAGTCCCGAATATATGGTCGTTCCAACAGAGCAAAGATCAGCAAATCAGACATTGTCCTTTGATCATTTGTGCCATCGAAATGTGGTTGTTGCATGTGAATGATATATCTTAGAATTGATATTAATAATACAGTGGAGCTACAAAGCCTATTGAAGATGTTTTTACACAGAATACATGTAATCTATGACACGCCACCATTGCCATGAAACGACAATGTGTTGATGATGTGAAGAAATGCAGTCTGGTTACTGCATGCACTAAGCGCATTGAAGTGTGTGTTTGTTGATGTTTACGAGACATATTCAGGTACACACACAGGTACTGGATTTGGATTGATCTTGCCAACTGTCATACAGGAAAACCAAGTTATATGGATAGTCAACATATTTACTGCAATGAGTGCGACGTTTCGGTGTTGGTACTAACACCGTTATAAAGCAAGAGATTGAAAGAGTTGAAACAAGGAGACAACTTCTAAAATGTCTGTCAAGGAAACTCATATTTAAGGATACATGTGACAATTGTCCACGCAGGCTATAACATGATAAATATATTACCGTTTTTGCTATGTAATTTATTGATTTTAGTACTCAGCAGTGTCCCTGTCTTTTCCATGTGTTTTATTTACGAGCAGAGTGCGGTGTCGTAGGATTCCTGGAGTGTTTAAGTTAGAAGCTAATGGCAAAAGGCAGTAGAAGGAAGTAGTGCGTACATGACAAATGAAGTATTGAGTTGATGTGTGTAAATTAATAAGTGATTTCTCCAGGTGTACAAGCAATTAATATACGATAAAGGATGAGTCCCGATTTTTCGTCTTCCAAAACTTTTTTATATCTGCACAAGATATTTCTCCTGTCAACGGGTCTTCAGGTGTTCAATGAAAATTATATATACATCTAAACGTTAATTAAGCACCACCCACTTTTTCAGAAAAGTTCAACATTCAAATCATGAAAAGTGCAATTTCCTGTCTGACTCAATGTAAAGAGGATTGATTTTGCTGAAGGGATGTCCTGCACTATGACTACACAGAAAACGAAGCCGATGATTATCTTTGATACCAATTTATTGGAGTTATGCGAATAAGCGTCAAAACGACCATTTCATTAGGCCTGAAAAGTATCA